CTACACTGATCAAGCTGAGTTCAGTTTAATGACATTATTCACTGTTAATATCAGTGGTTTTGCACTGTGAGCTCTGTATTTTGTGTGTTTTTGTTGTTGTTTTTGTAAATAGCTGTAAATATATGCAGGGTGCGTTTTATTGTCAAAACTATTTTGCTTTGTATATATATGTGATGCTGATTTGTAATTTAAAACTAATCCTAGCTGTAAACAAATTTCAAATTGATGTCATCTGGTGACATTTAGCTACCAGTGTTAGCTAATTTAAATTGAAAGCAGTTGGCAACACTGGTAGCCTATAGCACTATAGTAAAATCCCAGGTCCGAGCGTCCACTGCTATTTATCACTCTGCATTGTCTGGCATGAATATTCCATTCATTCTTAAAGAGAGAGCAGAGATTCTACAACGGGTTACATTTGAGAGCTATTGAGTTAGAAAATTGAGTAAATGAAGTAGCCTATAAGGCGATTAGTTTGATTAACATGACACACACACAGAGAGAGAGACATATGAATACTCAAGTTGAAGAATTCTGTTGTTTCAGGTTTCTAGATTCTAGGTTTATGTTTATCATTGTTATATACATTTTGCATTCTGTGCTTTTTATGTAGATTTCAAGTATTTTATTTCATACAATAATACATTTATTTCAATCCTCTGTTGAAAAAAAAAATCTAAACCATCACATAATTTGTAATGGTTTGACTGGTTATAATGAAAATAGTTTTCAATGGAAACTGTAATGGCGCCTGTTGGTCTCTACTGGTAATTGGTCACCTTCTATTCATGGCTTTTGTTAAATCCACTAAATCCTAATATAATATGTCCCAAAACACACTACAGGAAACCATTATTTAAAGGTTTTAATGGTTAAAAGTTGATGGTTTGTAATGGTATTTGTAGTGGAAATCATTCGAATTTCTGTGATGGTTTATTGTTTTTGTCAGCAGGGTCACCATGGGTTTTGTGATGTTATTTGCCATAAATACGATAGGATTGCTGTAATATTGTGAGATAGTAGTGACTGTTTGTAGTTGTGGTGGGCCTATTTGGAAGAAAATTCAGGGCTGTTTTTTACTCCCAGTCCGTCCTTGAACCCACTAGATGTGGACGCATGTTTATAAAGCTATGTAAAATTAATGTAAGTTCAACTTTTAAAAAACATGTCTCGAGACTTTATGGCGGTTTTCCCCCATCC